CAGTATTGTCCCTTTCACTCAACAAATTTTGATCTTTTTATCCAAAAATTTCCTACCCCCCCCCCCCCCCCAATTTTAACAATGAAGATGTTTGTTTGTTGTTAAACGAAAAGCTACACAATGGGGGGGGGGAGATATAAGCATTTTGTATGTGATCATTAGACACATGTCGTTTCACTCTGTGATTAAGCTGCATGTCCCTTTTTCAAACAGTATGAAGTTAACAAGTATTTAACTCACGTTAATTATTTTGAAACACTCAACCGTTTCTGAACACTTTGTTTGTATATTATCTAGTATCAGTCTTCTTATACATAAAAACAATTTTACAGACAACAAAACGAAGAGCGCCGCACATAAAAGACGGTTCAACAATGGAGTAGTATTAGTAGTTTAGGCTTGACGATTTTCAAAAATTGAAACGCACGGAAGAATAATATTTCGGTTCGTTGTTTTCTCTGTATTTCATTTATTCATGTAATGCTATATTTTTTTTCTCTTATCAATAATTCATAATGCAAATTACAACTATATAACAGCCTTCGTCCAAGCTCTTAGAAAAAAGTACATCAGAGGCTTCTAAGGCCTTCTCTGACGCAACTACAGTACTGCAGACAAATATAACGAGAGGGCAAACTACAATGTTGGAAAAGTAATAGGCACCCTAATAACAAAGGCAGCTATGAAAATAGGACCCACACAGTTGTGGGAATACATTAAAGAGAGAGAGCTAAAAGGGAACTTTTTATTATCTGTTAAGAGTAAATATGAGTGCTTAAGTCCACAGCGTTTAATATTTAAACGTTTTGTATACAGTTGTGGAGTGGGAATTGTTTCTAATAAAGCAAGGAAAGAGAATTGAAAAATTAAAAAAAAACTGCTCTTAATAATTAAAAAGTTCTTCTATGTTTAATTCTAATTCTGTTTCACATGTCAAGCTTACGAATAAAAGTTAAATCTGATAAACGGTGTATCCCTACTGAGGTGTTATTCTTAGTTTTGCAGATACTTCTACAATCAAGATCCATCTTACTTTTCCACATTGCATTTTGTATCCTGATATTTTTTCTTCATGTGCGACGATTTTATTTTCACCTAGTTGTCTAAAACTAGCATAACTATACAGAAAAAAAATAGCACCACGAAAAATAGTTATAGACACGCAAGTTATTTTGTTATTAAAACAAGGCCCTTGCTTATAGATTAACTAGAAAGAACAACATAACGTTCTGTTTAGGCTTAAATTTCATCAAGACAAAAACGTCTATTTTTTCCTAATTAAGAATTATGCGCTATACGTTAACGATAGAAATAGTTTTATCATTTCCAACAAATTACAGATCCACTGCAATTTTTTAACGGTATCTTTTTTTAGTATTTTGAAAATCTTGATACTTTTATTAGTGTAAGAGTGAAGAAGTGGAGAACTAAAGTCTGTTTAGACGCTTTTGTTAAAAATATATTCGTTTACAAAAGTCCATTCCTTTCAGTGGGTGAAGATATGTCTATGTATATATATATATTTAGGTAGTAGTATATGATTATCCGTAGTTTCCTGGTATATTTATGTTTTGAAATATGCATATTCCAATCAAAGTTGCAACACAGCCTTCCCGATGAGAGTGAAAAACTGGTCCGGGCTGTCAAGGGCAGGACATAATTCATCAAGGCTTCGCCGTCTGTGCTGAGCTTTTAAACAAGGGGAAACTATTAACATTCTTTAATAAGGCACCTTGGTAGTACATTACTAAGGAGATATAATGCCCTTGAACGGGAGGCCAACACAAGATGTATATGAACTGTTCAGTAACTTGACAATATATATAACTGAATATTTTGCAGTATCAGCTTTCGGTTTTTCTCATAGGCTGTTATAAGAAGAATTTTTGACAAGTTTAGCATCACGAGTTGAAGTGATAAACAGCACAAGGCTACTCTAACAGATGTCTCGTGATAATGATGACAGTTTACTCGAAGAAATTTAAAACGACTGTATCTAGTTATCCACCAGTTTTCAGAAATGAGTGAGGCACGCTTGCACAGAAAATAATATAACACTGTGTTGGAAAAATTCTCAACTACAGAAAATACTTTTTTCTCCTTTTTAAATACCTTCTAGTTTAATCTACGGTTACAATTTACAGCAAAATAATCCATGACTTCTACCCTTCTCTAATACCATAATTATAAACAATCCGAAATACAAGACAACGTTTACTGGATACATTTGTCATTGAATGACCTCTCAAGAACAGCTAAACTTACTTTATTTACGGTCTTGAATAATTAATACACAAATTCCGGCGAATTCTTTATTATAATGTAAATTATAACCACACACTTCCCCTATCCTACGTATCTGTAGTCATAATCTCTTCGTAACTAGAATTATCGTAATTTTGTTTCATCAAAGCTTCCACGCCTACTTCATAATGAACCCAAAATTACTAAATTCCATGTACTTCGCTTTGATTCTACAGTCTGCTTAAGACGTCAACAAAAACGTAGTTATCCTATATTACTTCAGCTTGGAGCTTACTCTATATCGAGTTAACTCCTCCAACAGTTCTCAAAATAACAGGACCAAACTTGGCAGTTGGACTCGAGGTGGTCTGGAAAACGAGGTGTCCTTATCTGTCCTCATGCCAAGGGGCGCTAGAATGAGCCTGGAAGGTCATCCAAGCATGATGAAGGTCAAATAGTGGGTTTTATAGCTCGATGAACCCAAATCTGGCATCATATTTTTTGTTCCTGGTCACCTCGCGAAGCCGGGGGTGCCATGTTTGAGACTGGTCCATACCTTTACTCACAAGTTAAAGGGCCAAAGTTAGCACACGTGCTCAGGTACTACGAACGGGTGCCCTAACAGTTTTTTGGGGGTGTGTGAAACCACCTGCCCCTTTGGGGTAGCTATAGAAATAATTGTTGATAACGGAGGAGTTTCATCGATACATTATGCCCTTTGTGATTCATGAGGTTGTGGGGGGTTTTGAACCCTGCAGCGGAGCGAGGGTATTTTACACTAGTGTCAATAAAACGGCGTGTTTTTCTTCTTTTTTTTACAACAAAAGGCAGTGGCAGTAACAGCACGACATGAAATATTGCTATACATCCACAACGAACTGTTACGCCTCCAGTCGTTAATTAATTTTCCGTAAATTCGTTCCGACGAAACTTTAGCGACACAAGTCCTTTCTTAAATAAAACTGGTTTATTCTTTCTGAATATAACTTTGCGATACACTTAATTTCAACAGTCGCGCTATAACAACGAACGTCTCACGTTCTCAACTTCAACAATACTCCGTTCAATTACACACTCTCTAACTGCAGTTCAATTACTCATTAACTCTGTTGTCCCGTCACGTTGTGAACGTCTTATGTACACAAGACTAACACATATCTAGTAAATGCTAGGGCATTCTTGAAGGAACAGGATATTTCTAGAAAGAAGTGGCGTGATACTAGTCACGTGACCTCGCTGAAGCAACAGAACCATGACACGTTTGTTGTATAACTTCATATTTCGCAGTTTTTAATGTCACACATAAGTATATATATTGCTTTGGCCACATTTCGGCTCAATTTGTGCGTGAGTTTCATCAAGTTTCTTTTAATAAGTATGCCAAATTCAAACTAGATATCTTATAGTTTCACTGAACTGCTTACTTCTCGAAAAAGACATAAAATGATTAAGTGTTATAAGAAAAAAATCAACGTTTCAGTATTTGCCATTCATTGAAGCCTAGAAAGTGTTGTAGCTGCTTCTTGTTTACTATTCTGGTCGGGGAAAGGCACAGATTGTACAAACAGTAATCACTGGAAAGATAAAACATTCGCATTCATATACTTTTACTGCTTACTTATTCTGAAACAGTTGCAAAGTGTATGAATCACTGGGTATCACTCGTTTCGGATAAAAAAAAAGAATAGCTTGTTTTTGTAACACAACCTGCATTGTACAGTTGCGAAATTGTTATTAAGTGCAATAATGTACAATGGAGTATCTGCACTGTGCCCAGTGCAAGGATCGAACCACGAATGTTAGTGTTACAAGGCCTCAAGTTTACAGTTGAGCTACCGGGGGTGATAAGTATGAACTAGTCAGGGGAAGCAATGGGAAGGTGGTGAGACTTTATGATTGAAAGCAAGAAACCTACTTAAACCTGTTTAGGACTGGTTCTTGTTTCCACTTTTGTATTTGTGTCTGGCCATGTTTACGATGGAAACCAATCGTCAATTATAAATAATCACAAAAATGATAACTCAACAACTAAAAGCGATATAAACGTAATTAGGAGTACAGCCTTTAAGAAAAATGTGAAGATCATGATCAATGGTGTTATCTTCAGCTTGTGAAGATCATCTTCAATGGTGTTCTCTTTGCTTGAGTAATGGTTGTTTATCACTTGTAGTTGTCAGTTATTGCATTTATACTTAAATCAGTATAAACCATTTCTAATAATAAAAAAATTGACAAGTTTTATACAAACAAATTTAGATAATAAATCTGAAGTTGTTTTTTCCTCAAGTATGATCATTATAGATACATGTTTAAATAATGATAATTCAGCTTAAGAATACAACCTGTTACATCTTTCACCAAGAAAACAGATACCTAATTCATAAAGTTCTGTTAGAAGTTAACCATTATTTGAAGTCTTGAACACATACAATATGTGTTTAATGTTATAAACACACACAAAAAGTGTATCATCAAGAGGTTTACTAATGACACTACCATCATCAATGTAAACATATGTGAAATTAATCTGAGAGAAGCAAAATTTTTTCTATGAAAAGTAATGGTCAACTTGCAAGTTAAATGGGATGGTGAATTTATTGTGGCATATAACATGTTCACCAAACAATTATCACTTTACAGTTTTTACATATTTGTTCTGATGGATCCAAATAAATGTCACAATTTGTAAAGCATGAATTCTTGATGTCTTCCATGTTTCTTTCAAGAAAAAAAATTAAATCACACATGGAAACTTATAAAATGCCAATATTTTATTTAGCATGAATACAGCCACTGAAGACGGCAGCCTTAGTTCACACTCTGTCCACAAAAAGTATCGTTATTATAAATACTTCTCTGTTGAAGGAATGACAATTCAGTATAAGAGCACATTCTGTTACATCTTCCACTGAGTAAACAAATGCTTAACTATATATTCATAAAGTTCTGGCTAAGAGTTAACTATTATTAACAGTTGGAGGTAATGTTAGGTTCCTGTTATTTTTTATAAATTGAACAATAATGTACTTGGAAACTGACAAAAAAAAATTGAATAAAAGTTAAGGAGCCAGCTCAGACTAAAAATAAACCTGTTTCTTTTTACTTAATAGTAGTATGATTGAGGCTCTTCAAAGAACTAGCTTAGATTAAAATATAAGACAAAATTATTTCTTTTCAATAAATAGGGGCAAGATTGAGGCTCTTCATGGAACCAGTTTTTAATTAAAAAGGGCATAATTGGGTTTTTTTAAAGAACAAATTTTGATAAAAAAACTTATTTTCACAAGGTAGGGGTGTGCTTTAAGATACTCAAGGAAACAGTTTAAACTCCATATATAAATTGGGGGAAGGGATTAGTTGCTGTCAGATCACAGACCAAACGTGGGCAGAGTGTGAAACTGGTTGGTTCTTACTCACTGGATTGATGGTGGGATAGCATAGAATGGCATATTAGAAAATTTGGTTATGTTTAGAAGAAACAAGTGCACAACTGACAACACTAGGTGGTATCCTGCATTGGAGAATATATCCATAAGGCTACATAAAAATCTAATTAAATTTTCTACCAATATATATTTTAGCTTTAGCATGTCCTTTATAATGTGGATTCTTAAACATAAAGTTCCATAGAGCTGGCTACAGCAAAACTATAGCAATAGTAAATGAAATAATTTTGGCATTACAGTCTATGACAAGAAGGCAGCTGCTCTAATCACATAAAGTACAGCAAACTGTGGTCCACCTGGTAAAATAAGCCAGTTTAAAAGGCTAGAAACTGGAGAGGCAGACACTATAAACAATTTTTTAAAGAAAACAAATAATCCACAGGTTTTTTTTCTCTAAATATTTTTATATACACAATTATAAAGCAGATTAATTACATTAGCTTTTAACAGTTGCTGAAACTAAAGAATGACTAGAAGAAAGCATGGAATAATGAAATAAAAGTTTAAATTGAAAAGGAAGTTCAGTCACATGAAAATCAGAAAATAAACAGAAAGTGATGTAAAGTAAAAACCTGGGAAATAAACAGGATTTGAAAAGATTGAGATCTGAGATAACCAACAGAAAGTTTATTGATGTAGAGACTTGACACAATAATATAATGAAGTGTAGATTTGGGACAGTGGGCAGAAGGTATAATGAATAAAACCTTTGGACAATTAACAAAAATTAATATCTAGAGATTTGTGATAATGAACAAAAAGTTAATTACATGGGTACTTAATACAATGAATATAAAGTATGATGAAGTGAATATTTTGAACAATGAACAAAAAGTGTAATGAAGTGGAGATTTGGAACAATGAACAAAAAGTGTAATAAAGTGGAGATTTTGAACAATGAACAAAAAGTGTAATAAAGTGGAGATTTGGAACAATGAACAAAAAGTGTAATAAAGTGGAGATTTGGAACAATGAACAAAAAGTGTAATAAAGTGGAGATTTGGAACAATGAACAGAAAGTGTAATAAAGTGGAGATTTGGAACAATGAACAAAAAGTGTAATAAAGTGGAGATTTGGAACAATGAACAGAAAGCTTAAAATAAAGTGGAGACATAGGACAATGACAATAAATTGCAGTTAAATTAAACAATAAAAGAAAATATAGTAAAATATGCATGATCAAGAACTAAAACATATAATATAGGACAAAGAGTGTGAAGTGTAATAAAATGAGACTGGAACAAAACTGTATGTGGAAGAATGGGATAGAAGATATGCAACACCATTATATGAGGGCTTGAAGACTGAACAAAACAGTGTACTAATCAGATATATCTAATAAAGTATATAAATTTAATTAAATGATAGCTAGAAGAATAAACAGAGAACATAACCAAGTGCAATCAAATAATCACTGGAACAATAAACAGCCAATGTAATATCATGGAAGTATACGATAATTAACAATAAATGTAATCAACTGAAGGCTGGAAGAATAAACAGATAATGTATCTGGTGGAAGTATAAGACAATCAACAAGAAACTTAGTCAATTGGAGGCTGGAACAATAAACAGATAATGAATCTCGTGGATGCGTATTATAATAAACAAGAAACTTAGTTAAAGGGAGGCTGGAACAATAAACAGATAATGAAATCTTGTGGAATTATATGATAATAAACAATAAACTTAGTCAAAAGGAGGCTGGAACAATAAACGGATAATGAATTTTGTGGAAGTATATGATAATAAACAAGAAATTCAGTCAAAGGGAAGTTGAAACAATAAACAGATAACTCAGTTAAAGGGAAGCTGGAACAATAAAGAGATAATGAAATCTTGTGGAATTATATGATAATAGACAAGAAACTTAGTCAAAGGGAGGCTGGAACAATAAACGGATAATGATATTTGTTGAAATATACAATAATAAACAAGAAACTCAGTCAAAGGGAGGCTAGAACAATAAACAGATAACTCAGTTAAAGGGAAGCTGGAACAATAAACAGATAATGAATTTTGCTGAAATATATGATAATAAACAAGAAACTCAGTCAAAGGGAGGCTAGAACAATAAACAGATAATGAATTTTGTGGAAGTATATAATAACTGCAATCTAATGAAAAACTTTTTTCATAATGAACAAGTGTGGCCAAATAAGGACTGCAATAATGAACAAAGTGATTTTGTGAAAGTATATGTAATGATAAAGAAATGTAAATAAATAAAAGTTGGAACAAAGAGCACATAATGTAATCTACTGATAATCTGTAATAATGAACATGTGAGGTCAAATGGAGGTTGAAACAATGAACACTTAACTTAATCTAGTGAAAGTCTGTGATAAGGAACAAGCAGTGTAATCAAGCTGAGATCTCTGATTATGAAAATAAAATGGAGGTTGAAATAATGAACACATAACTTAATCTAGCAGAAGTCAGTGATAAGGAACATGAAATGTAATCAAGTTGAGATCTGTGATTATGAACTTGTAAGGCCAAATGCAGGCTGAGACACTGATAAAAAAAATTGTAATCAAATACAAAAAAAAACAATTTTTAAACTGTTTTTTAGTGCACTGATAGCGTGGCTAAGGAATACTTTTCTACAAGTAACAAATTTATCATGAACACAATCGACTACACTGCAGATTTACTGTACATAGAATTAAACATGCTTATATTAACCATACACTTCTGGCATTTGATCTACAAATTAGCTGGTAATACCTTTATAATATGTTTTACTGACAGTACAGATCATTCACATACTTGAAGTTTAACAAAAAATTGAACAAAAACAACATTAATAATAATCACCTCGTGTACAAGTACCAGGAGATATGTTTAAATACTACGAATGCACTAACACAACTTAATACTAAAAGATTATTAACTAATACTAGTATAACCAAAGAATGGAATAGCAGTTGATTTATGGTATCTGAATAATTTCCACAAATTAAAGAGTTTGTACATTAAGAATATATAAACACAAGCAAAGCACAAAGCTGAATTCCTTTCATTCACTAGTGTGTTGATTACCTCTTTTCTTAGTGTTAACCAAAGACCGAACTCGTGGATTACCCACTACAACATCTTATTAAGTTCACAACCATACAACTGTGTCAAATAAAATCATCTGCAATTATTTCTCAATATAAAAATTCCTTTTACGATTTTCAAAGAAACAAGATTACTAGTCATGAAGGCTAGTGCATAAGGAATATAACACCAGACAAAAATATATGTCTATATACATAGAGACAAATTGTTTGTAAATATCTGTTAAATATGCATTTCAACCCTTCATAACCATTTACTCAAATGAAGTTTTATTTTCTCCAAATCCTTTTCCTTTTCTTTAATTCCTCTGGTAGTGAAACTTAATGCTTGAATGCCATCCTCAATAAAATGAAATGCATAAAATTTTGTACTTATTAAGGGGGAAAAAATTACAACATTCCTCACTATTATGAACATGTAAAACTGACGTAAAAATTCACTCCAACATGACACCGATAAGTCGTCACATTTTTATTAGTTATATTTAGAATTACCGGAGAGCTGAAATATGAAATTTATAAACTTGAAGTAATCTATTAAAAAATGAATCTGATTATTTCCATAATTGAAACTGAATCTTTTGCATAAAAGTGAAAAAAAAATTTGGAAAAGACAAAGATAAAATTGGTCTTTGGGAATGGATTAAGAACTTAAGATTTTTAAAATTTTTTACAGTATGCAATGTCTAAGCAATTATTTGAACAAATAATTCACATTCCTCACTTCCTTTATTTTTTCTGTTCTCCCTATTCTATATAACCAGAAAAACTTCTGTTTTCAGAAGAACTTAATAACACCACTTGTTTTAGAATTAACTATAACTTGTTTTCATTACTTTCTCTGAAAATACTCTCATGATTAAAATAACAAACAAAAAACAGACTAGTTATTTCTTTCACAGGGCAAAAACATCAAGCTTATCGTAACTAATGCAAAATACCTAATTACTTAGATCCATTATGTTTATTATACCCCTTATACGTCATTACTTAATAAACTCAAGTATATGTATATTAAAAACACACACATGGGCAAATCTTTGATATTAAAATGGTGAACAACTTTTTAAGAATATATATACCTAATTCTTTAACTTCTCTATTTCCATTACACAACAATTTGTACAGAAACATTTCTCATGTAACCAACTAATGAGAAATAATGGCATATGTCACAACACAAATATTTTTTCTTATTCATTTCTTGTTGAACAGCAGTTATTCAAAAATAAGCTCAAAATCCTTCAAAATAAAGTAAAAAAAAAAGAACAGACTCCTTTTAAAAAGGACTTAAAACTGAAGTTATTACTTTTAAATGTAATGTAAAATAAAAGGTGAAAAAAATTTGCACCACCTTGTGGCTAACTCTTTATTTTTACTTTGTACCAATGGACACAAACTACAAACCCTCCCCCCTACCCAAGCAGTGGAACACAACAATATTACAATAACAACAAAAATCTTTTGCTCCTATCTACTGTTTTTTTACATAATTGGCACAGGGTTGTAACTCGTACTCCTGCTACACTCTTACATAGAAGAATTCAATTAAATGTTGAACAGAATTGTGTGAAAAACTTATCACACTCTTCTGGGTCATTCCAAATTGCAGAATCCAATTATCTTTGATATACCCTGTCAAATTCATTATAACATTAGTGACTAACTACACAGTTAAAAAAAATCACAGTTGATAGAACATTCAGTCATTTCTATGAATTGATCACTTTTCTTCACAGTTAATGCACATTCAGTAAAAAAAGAGCAATAAAAAAATAATGCAAGAAAAGGATATGAAAACCAAAAGCTATTGCTTTTCTTGAAGAAAAACTAAGATTTTAAAATGAAATACTGTAGGATTTGATCACACAAGTTTCCAAAACCTCAAAATCCAGAAAAATAAAAGTTATCTGCAAGACTGTAAAACAAGAGAAACTACCTTAGAAAAGGCATTTTATCTACAACATTAATAATAATAATAACATGAATCTTCAGTGTCATGCACCTAGTAAACAGTTATCTGGTATAAGCCCATCTTTCTCAAATAAACTAACTTATCCTTTAAATAAGTATAGCACCAATTCCTGCAGTAGCTTACGATTAGGCAGGTTTTTGTACATTTCTTTAGCCCAAACTTTTGGCAACAATAGAATGCACTGTTCAGTTCAAAATTTCTTCAACGTCACGACTCCTACTTTTGGGTCACTATATTTTTTACATGCTCATTAATCACTCACACAGGTATATAAATACTATTTTAATCCAGATCACAGGATTTTTATATTCACTGATGTCTTAGACACCATCATTTAGTGAACAAACAGAGGGTGGTGTCACCAATGTTTGAAACTAATGTGGTAGGATATACACTTTACCAGAATCTTTATCTTCTCTACAAAAACAAAAAGGAAGAGCTCAAGTATCAACACATACCAGTATATCCTTTTAACATATAATACACAGGTTGTGCACAGCTGATAGAACATTTAAGAGAGAGGGAAAAAAAAAAGATCTCTAAGTATTCAGTTTATTCAAATCATCATCTGAGGCACTCCAAAGGTGGTCCACTATGACCCGTTACTCTGGCAATATTTAGTTCTCATCCTGGTCTTCTAGGAGTTGTTTTCTACCTATAGCCTCTGCTTCTATTAAGCTTTGCCCTGCAGAATGATGAGCATAGCTACATATCACGTTCCTTTCACAGAAAGACTTTCCAATCACTGAACATGACCAGTGATCAGACTCCACCAGAAGAACCACTAGACTGGTCTTGATTGGTAGTTAGGTTGCAGTAACGAGGCAAAGGGCTCATTAAATCAAAGAATGATTTCATTCTCCTACCAGAATTAGACCTACTATCCAAACTCTTACTAGTGGTATTTCTGGTATTGGGTGACCTAGGCTGTGTAGTTGGAAAGGAGTTAGAGCCTCCCTCCACATATGTATAAAAGTTTCTGTGAATATCATCATTAACAGCTACACTAGCATTATTTGAATGTTTGACTAGAAAATTAGTGTCTGAAGTCCGCAACACTGGTGGAGTACTTGGTTTTGATAAGAGGCTCACAGAGTTAGACCGATATGAAAGAGGGTTCTCATCTTCTGGCACTATTCTGTTTGGAGGAGGCTTTATCCAGGTTCTAATGATTTCGTTGTCCTGACTGGGACCTTGTATGTGTATAGATTTGGAACTATTGTACTGAAATTCTTCGCCGTCAGGCAAAGTAATTATTGGGGGTAAACCTAGGTTAAAGTCCATTTGCACAGACTTCTGTCTAACATGTTGATTCTGCAGGGAAACAAGCTCTAGCTGTTGTCGTTGTTCTATGTTGTCAGGAGTATACAGCACCTGGAGAAAGTGATTAAAATATGAATGGCAAAAAATTCATATTTCTGCAATTTACATATAATACCTTTAAGTAAGTAAAAAAAAGGATTCTTTTTTAAACTTTTTTCCTTCTGTGGTTTGAAAACTACTTTATAGTATTATAAACTTTATTTCAATGAACCATATGTATAAAACTGAGTTGTTCAACAAATTCTTAAATTTATCAACACTTCCTGATCTTAGAAAAGATTATGTACTAGCCAGAGATTCTAAACAATTGTGTAAAACTTTTTCAACTAATTTTCCATAATGTCTCCATTGGACAATATATGCTTCTGGATTCAGCTTGTATATGTAGAACTTCATTAAATTTAATGAAGATTGTATTTTCAAATTCAAAGCTGTTGCACAACATAAAGTAACGAAATCTGCTGTGGCTTACATTCAATTCCTTTTAGGCAAGAACTCCTTTCAGTTTTTAGAAATCAGTCAACATTTTATATTAGAAAAGTATATAAACCAACAGTGTTTTAGGCTATGTGACAAACTGATATAGAGGTTTGTACTTTAATGACATTTATTGGATTTAATACCATCACCTGGATATTTTCCTATACTGTTTATATAATAACTATAGTAGCATCACCAAAATACTCTCTGCCACTGTTTCTAGGGCAACTGTAGTACCATCATCTGGATACACTCCTTCCTAAATTGTTTCTTTAATAACTATAGCATCATCATCCCGATGTTCTGATGCTATTTTTAAGGTAACTATAGTACCATCACCTGGATACAATTTGCTGTTCTTTTTGAGTAACTGCCACCAGCAATATTATTGTTTTATGAATGGACAATCTGATTTAAAAGTTAGAAAAAGTCTAGAAATAAATACTGCTGCTTGAGCTACACAAATAATTTGAATATCTTACTATAAGAATAATCATATGACACTCAGTAATTACTCTTCAAGAGGGTTATATTATTTTGTTCAAAGGATTTCAAGTCAGCATAACAGACTGTACACTCTCATCAACAAGTAGCTTATATACAAAAATGTTAATATCAATACAAGTAAACTAAAGCTTAAAAAAAAGGGAGAAAAATAGGGACTTATCACATTACTATTTAATAATAATTCAGACAGATTTCAAAATACCTGATGATTTTATCTCATCAAACTAGCTTAAAGTTTTAATATGTAATTTTATTATCATTCCAAACACAAAATCAAACTTATAAAAAAAACTGGTATAATGTGAAAATAATTAAGAATTTTGATTTAATCATAAGTACAGATGTTTTCAACAGCAGTATTAAGTAATAAAAACCACATCATTAGAATATTATACACTTATGGTCGAAATAAATAAAACTCTTCATAAAAATTAACAACTGCTTACATAATAGGAAATACAAGTTTCTAAGTCTTTAAGTTATTATGACAAAATTTGAAGTTGATTTGGCTTTCTAATGAGGCAGTTGTGATGAAAAGTTTACAGTTTAAGCACTTTTCACACGATCAATAAATAAATAATTTCAGCAATAAATATGGTACTGACATACATGCAAATGAGCCAAACACTTACTGGGGAATGTGGTGCATGGGTGTGTACTGGGGAATGTGGTGCATGGGTGTGAGTATGTTGTGACTGAGACAGATGCTGCAGAGGAGTTACTTGTAGAAGGCTTTGAGGTTCCGAAGGGTTTGGAGGTCTGCCCCATCTTTCATGCCATGACCATGCCCCCATCTTGTAGTGACTGACGATGCACATGATAAGTCCCAGCATTAACACTATGGCTATGACAATGATGACAATATGTAGACCAGACACTAGAAGAAATACATTGAAACAGTCAGTATGAGCAGATACTGCAGCAATCAATAATAAAAGATTTATAGCAGTGTTGAACAATAATAAATCTGCCAAAGAAACAACTAACTAAAAGCCTATGAAAAGTTAGTGACAGAAGAATATTTGTGCAATTTGAAACACTAATCCGAGAGACATTTACTAGTATCTTGAAACATCTGAAACTAATTTATTAATAAAGTAGAACCAATTAACAACAGCTAGTTTGTTTTTCTAGAATTTCGTGCAAATCTACTCCATGGCACCTGCACTAGCCGATCCTAATTTTGAAGTGACAGATTACATCTGAGAGAAGGCAGCTAGTGAGCACCACTAACTTTTGGACTACTTTAATCAAATAATGGGATTTGACTGTCACTCTTTATAATGTACCCATAACCCCAAAGTGCAGAGACATTTTTTTTTGTTAAGGTAATGTGGTGTATTCCACAAAACTTCAAATCCACAGTCCAGGACACTAGCCACTGGGCCATGCTCGGCCCAAGTTAACTCCACATATTAAAACTGATGTAAGATCTTCATTTGTGATGTTAAGGAGAACATCTGGCTGTACACAATACTCACTGTTAATAATCTATGAACATTTATCAAACTAATATCTGATGTTCCACACTTCATGAATAAACATTTCTTTATAATCTGAGCAGTTTTTAAATAAATACCAAATTATAAAAAAGAACAAAACAACATAAGATGATTAACACAAAGTCTGATAATTTCATTCTAACAAGTTCAAACGTTTCTTTATAAAACTCTGCATCTTGCTCACTTAGTCAGAATCTCATGTATATATTTATAGGGTAGTTAGCATTTATGTCAACATGAGAAATAGGTAGTAGTATCTTTAAAAATGCATAAGCACACTTTGATATGAGATTACAACATTCACCACCCTAATATAGTGCCATTACAAAGAGTGACCTATTTTTTTATATTTTTGTACATATAGGTTATACGGTTATGGATGAAGTGAGAGTTCCATTTTATTTATTTATTTTTTGTCGGAAGTAGGAATATGAAAACATCTGGAGTTAGATGAGTTTAAAAGATCTCAGGTTTTATCTAAGTGAACAGAAGGTCAGAATCAGCATTTTATCGTTTTATATTTTGCTCCTAACACAAAATATTAACAACTGATTTTATTTACAAGTGTATAAGGCAGTAGCCTCCACTGGCTAAATAATTATCATAATCTTTAAGAAAAATATGAAATAATGTTCTCTATTACCATACACCATGGAACTGGAAAAACATACAAGGTTAAAGGGATAAATAAACATGGTTAAAAAGATGTGATAACCTGAGTGCTTGCATATGAAAAATAAAGATTTATGTTGCAAAAGTGCTCATTTTAGAGGACCTTAAAACTGTACTGATCACAGTTAATTTTATAATTTGGTGGCTAACTCAGCTGCTTATAAGGATGAAAATTATTTCAAAGATAACTTGCATGTAGGTTAAGTTATAAAACTATTTTTAGTGCTTACTACATTTTCAAACATGCAAAGTTCAATAGTACTATGAAATAATTACTTGCATCTACAAATTGTCTGTTTTCACACAATTCAATGTCAACAGTTAAACATCAATGTCTACTACAAGTAATAATTCATTCCACTAAAGCTGAGCAAATGAATTGATTACCTGTAAGCAATAATTACATCAATTAGTGTCTCATAAATTAATCACTTACAATTAATCTTACAAAAATAATCAACTAATAAAAATTATGGTTTCTGATTATTTACTGTTTTTTTATTATGTTTGTTTGTTGTTAAGTACAAAGATACCTAATTTTGAATTGCTGACTAGTTGGAAGGCAATTGACTGGCAGCACCCTCTGCCAACTCTGGGTACTTACGTGTTAAATAAAGTGCAAATTTACTGTTTGATGTTGTAAGAGCAGGTGCAGATTTAGGGAAGAAGGTCGAGAGAGTCTGTAAACTCTCCTAATCATTTTTTTCCTGAAATTGATAACTTTATTTTTTAATGTTGTATAAGTGGGTGTAAATCTAGGGAGTACAGACTCCTTCAATTTTTTTCAGGAATTAATAACTATTCTTTCATGTTGTATAAGTAGGTGCAGATCTTGGAGAGGGGGGTCTGGACTCCCATTTTTCAGGTATTAATGACAATTCTTTTATGTTGTATACGCAGGCGTGGATATAGGAGAGGGATCAAGATACCTTTCAGATATAATTTATACACTCCTATATTCATAGCTGTATGCCCCTACCTGCCCTCTGTTAAGAGTTCTCATGAGAAAGCTGTTTTTCGTATTTTTGATGTCTAAAACAAGTGAAAATGCAAATAGCATAACTGTTTAAGTGACAAATTTTGAAAATAATTTTAGTAAACAAGTATTCTGTTTACCAATGCTATAAATTTTGCCTTAATAACGTTATAGATAATTACAACTATTGCATTTCATTAAAAACGTTTGTTTCAAATCATTCACATTACTAGAAATAAAAAATAAGCTCTGAAATCATTGGATTATAACCTGGTTGAGCTAACCATTTACAGAATACAATAACATTATTTTAATATTGTCTTATTTCAGTTACTTTAGGACTATATGGTTGACACTGATTAATCAAAAATACCCTGTTACTATAGCGGAAGTCTCTTCTCTCATATACGAAATAATGAAAATTTGGATACAATATTACACAGCTAACTATTTTCTGAATAGACTTTCTAGTGTTGTTCTTATTCATTCACTAATGGTTTTCAAACTTTGTAAGATAAAGTCATAACTATAGAAAGTTTTATTTTTATTTTGTTTGACTTTAAATCTAGGCTACTTGAATAATATCAAAAAGTAATATGTTTCCTCTGTCTTTTCATAGTTATTCACCACTTGATAAAATTTTTTTGAGAGACAAATTTTAAAGTAAATTTTACATGTTAATTCCAACTATATTTCGACAATTTTAATTTTAAAATATTTTAGAATCGAGATTTATTTATGGTAATTCACAAAGTAAAATTCATACTTTGATCTCTGCACAGAATTGTGCTTGTAAACGAAACAATCCAATTGTCGATGTTTCTAGAATTTCATAAAGTATAGCTATATTTTTACTAAAAAACATATCCATTTCTTGAGTTTCAAATGTTTCCCCAATTTTGTTCAGGCCTTGATTGTAACTATGTTATGGTGCCATTTCAAGTGGTTTGATCATTTACTAATGAAATAAGTTTCAATGCAGATATGACGAAAGCTTAATATGATAGAGCAAGAATTCAAGGATCATGTAATGGCAGAATAAATATATAAATTTAAGAGTGCTTTATCTTATAGTTTCTGCAAATGTTCTTTTTACTTCCATTTGTTTCTGAATTATGAAAGTATTTGTGTGTTAAATTATATCTGAATGCTACAGCAATTTTCTTCAATGAGACAACATCAGATAAATTAAGATAAGATAGATAAACTTATACAACTTAGAGATGGATTGAATGGGTAACAAAGTAAAGTTTATTAGAACTTTAACAAATTAACAAATGTTCAATGTTTGGAGAAAGTTTTGTCATCATCAGGTACAAGTAGTTTACCTACACAAAGAAAAATACATACAGACTACAGTATGAAACAAAGATTACTTATGGCTTACTATACAGTGATTCGTTTGTCAAGTTGGAATTGTCCAGGTTATCTTAAAAATACTGTGGCAAAATATTCTTTTAAACAAAAATGTACAAATGGAATCCTTCAGAAGAGGTCTATTATATAAAACCAAGGGTACTTCGAAAATTATTAAAAAAAAACCCAATAAAAACAATATTAAAGATAAAAATGTGACATATCATTAGGACAATTAATATCATGTTAGAATAATGCAGTGGTTAAAAGTTATGAAGGTAGCTCACACCCCTTTGTTTTTTAATTATACAAGGGGAAGAATGTTGTAGAGATATGTACTATTCGATTAATCGCCCAGCTCTACACTCAACAAGTCTATAATATACTACAAAGGCAGTGGTGTCTTTACTGTGCAAATATAAACAGAAATCAATCTTGGCTATATATATGTGTAAGAATCATTATAAACCTTAGAAAGTCAAACTGATGAAACAAATCTCTCTTTCTACAAAGGAGCCTTCTTCTACATCCCAGTTCTTATGCATTTTTGTATAATAGTCAAGACATTTTCAGGAACTTAGTACATAATAACGTTTGGTAAAACTCTTATTCAAAACATTCTACATAAAAGATTTGTTAAAGACTAATAAATCAGTATTTTAACACTTTTAACTTCTGTTGTCATTGTTAAACTAATAGCCTATTTTCTAATAAGTTGTAATAAAGCCATTGTAATTTATGTTAACTTTTAATAACGTACAAAATTAATCTTTATCACACTATTTGTTATGAATTTTGTTCTCCAACTTTTATGACTATTAAATTGGTGTTAAGTAATTAGCAAGATGTCATTAGAACATAGAACATATGATTAGTAATTCACTTTAAATTATAAAATGATCAAAATAAGATAAGACCATCTTTAAAGCCTTTACTGTGAAGATGTTGCTGCTTAAGGATCGGACTGTCCACTGGGCGTGTATTGGTCATTGTAACGTTCTGTATTGAAATGTCGATCATGGCGATGAGCAACAAGTTCCAGTAACATTATGATTCAATGGAATATTACTAGAAGTTTATGAAGCGAAAATTTGGAATATACTCTATAACTTTTAACACATCAGTTACGTCTTTGATAAGACTTGTAGCACGTGAATTTTTGCCACAGGACCATGGCCTTCATTTTCCATACAATTTCATGCTGTTAACATACATATGAACAAACAACTTCATGTACCAGACTGATCAGCTGACCATCACATATAAACTCACACACTGAGTCACTCAAAGCGGAAGAGTAGCCCGATAAGAGACACCAGTCTGCCGGATCAATACATCTGTCTGGATACGAACGTGTTCAGATTCAGGAGA